AGAAAGTTACAAAGGCGTTCTGGGCAGAAGCACTTGCCAATGCAGTGTACGTTCGAAATCGAGTCACGTCACGTGCCATTCCCCCCAAGATGACCCCCTACCACTTATGGATGAAATCTGTGCCAAATGTTGGTCATTTGCGTGTTTTCGGTTCAAAGTGTTGGTATACATTACCAAAACAAAACATCCAGAAACTTGACGCCCGTGCAAAGGAGGCAATGTTTCTAGGGTATGCTGAAAATACGAAAGCTTACAAGTTGTGGGATGGTGATTTGCACAAAGTGATCGTATCCAGAGATGTTACTTTTGACGAGTCCACGGGAGGCAAATCTGGTGAACCGATGGATACAAACGAGGAGGCTACAACTGATGATGACATAATCAACTTGAACATCGATGAGGAAGTTGCAGAAAATGATGCAGTGGCATCAGAAGCATCATCGCCGGATGAACAACAAGACTCTGACGAATCCTCCAACTCCTCCCCAACTGCAGGGGAGGACGAAACCACCGAAACAGTTGACCAACACGTAGTTGAGGAAGAAACGATTGATCCGCCAACTAATCTCCGTCGGTCCACTCGCGTTCGCAAAACGCCTGGGGCGTGGTGGGCAGCAGCTTTGGTGACTGCTGGACTCCTTAGCCACGCCCATGTGATAACGGAAATCCCAAACTCGTACAAGCAAGCTATGGATTCTCCAAAAGCTCGCTTCTGGCAGAAGGGTATCGACAAAGAACTTGCTTCACAACACAAAAACAAAACATGGACACTTGTTCCAAGATCTCAAGCATCCAACGTCCTGACGTCCAGGTGGGTTTTCGGAGTGAAGCAACTTCCTGACGAGTCCGGAAAATTGGTCGAAACTGCAAAGGGACGTCTTGTGGCACGAGGCTTTCAACAAGTAGAAGGCATCGATTACACTGAAACTTTCGCCCCTGTCATCAAGTTCACAACTATCCGTCTGCTGCTGGCACTGGTTGCGCACTTTGACCTTGAGCTGCATCAGATGGACGTGGTGACTGCCTTCCTCAACGGTGACCTTCACGAAGAAATCTACATGGAGCAACCTGAAGGATGCATCGACAAAGTCAAACCTGATTCGGTGTGTAAACTTCTGAAAGCAATCTATGGTCTTAAGCAAGCCCATCGCCAATGGCATACTAAGATCGATGAGTTTCTGATCACTGAACTTGGTTTCAACACTACACGCAGCGACCCATGTCTTTACATTCGACGTCAAGGCAATGTCATCATGATTATCGCGTTGTACGTGGACGATCTGCTGCTAGCTGGAAGTGACTTGGAGGCCATATTATGGATGAAAAATGAACTCAACAAACGATTCGATATGAAAGACCTTGGCGAAGCGAAGACTTGTATTGGTCTAGAGATCGACCGTATACGTTCTAAACACGTCTTGACCGTCACACAGTCGAAGTATGCCCAAGCAGTACTGAAACGGTTCAAAATGTCGGCATGCAATCCTTGCGTTACTCCGATGGAACAGTCTCGACATGTCACAATGCAAGTGGCCGAAACTGGCACTGATGACAACCCATGCTTTGAACCATATCGTCAGGCCATTGGATGTCTAATGTTCCTAATGGTCGGGACCCGCCCCGATATTGCGTTTGCCATTGGAAAGTTATCTCAACACTGTGCCGACCCTCACGAGTCGCACTGGTCAGGTGTGAAACGTGTTTTGAGATACTTGCGTGGGTCCCAGCATCTTGGAATAGTGTTTGGTAAAGATGATCTTGGTACGGAACTTCATGGGTATAGCGACGCAGATTGGGGTGGATGCCTTGAATCACGGAAATCAACGAGTGGGTACGTGTTCAAGCTTTGTGATGGGCCTATCAGTTGGGCTTCCCGGAAACAAACAGTAGTTGCAAAGTCTACTTGTGAGGCAGAATACATCGCACTCAGTGAAGCATGCAAAGAGGCTGCGTGGCTTCGACGCTTCCATGCCGATGTACTTGGTGCGAATTCGGATCCAACAATTCGCGTTGGATGTGACAACGCTGGTACGATTGCGTTTGCTCAGAACGAATCTACAAATCGTCGGAACAAGCACATTGATATTACGTATCATTTTGTTCGAGATGCGGTGCAGCGAAAACTGGTCACATTGTACCATTGTCCGACAACAGAAATGCCAGCCGATATGCTGACCAAACCACTTGGTCGCGTGCTGTTTGAAAAGTTCGTGGGCATGGTTGGGCTTTCCGATTGCAAAGCTGCCCAAAGCATGTGATCGAGGGGAGGTATTGAACATGTGCGACCACATGCTGTTATCTGGAAAGTGCAAAATCGAGCGACACGTGTACATGACTCGATGGTCCGGACCCTCACCCCATATCAGGACATGACACGTGTAAATTCTCAGATTTTGGGGTTCTGGGGACGAAAGTGGACTTTTGGAGGGTCATGCAAATTTGCATAAATGCCGAAAATTTGCATTTGGCCCGAACCGTTATAGGGCTACATAGGCAATACTGCAAATCTATTGGGTGTCGGTTCGAATGCTGCAATTCTATTGGTCTGTTATTGTCCACTTATATGCAGTCATGCTGGTGATATATCTTGAATCATCGGTATACGTTTTAATTACATCATTTCGGGGGTTTCAAGTTGTTCACCATGGTTGTAATGGGTAATTACTTGTGGCCTTGGCGCTGGACACTTGTGTGCGATGTACACATGTACACATCGCCAGGTTGCTGCGTGTACGTACACTTGTACACGTCGCCTACATACGGTCCGGCGCGTGTCCGAGCACAGTACATGTGAATTAAAAGTACAACAAGTATTTCTCGCAAGAGACATGTACTTACGTGAGTATTCAGTGTACGCGTCACGCTGTATGAGACCTCTTGCATCAGCATGCGCCGTTGTATTACACTCTCGTCAGCATGCGACGTTGTACTGTGCTCTCGTTATGGTGCGCCGTTGGATGCAAGTTGATGACAGTACTCGTGTGATTCACATCGGATATCACGTGAGATGTGTAGAAAGTCTGGATGCACATTGTTGCTATCGGTGATAGTTGTGTGGCAGTGTGTACCGAAATTAGTAAGGTACGAAACAAGGGCATGTATGGGGACTGAGATATGACAGGACTTTGCGTTGTTGGAAATAGAGAGATGCCAAGTTGTTCATTGTGCAAGAATATATTCTGTCATGTCTGGATGCAGATTAGTAAGGTGTGAAACGATTGCATGCATAGGGCCATGGTTTACAGTCACTCGAAATGTGTAGAAATTGTTGTGCACTGATAGTCAATAGTCAATTCGTAAGGTGGAAATAGAACAGTGTGGACGGGCCAGAAGAGGACCGCGCTTGGTCGCGCATATGGTGAGTACGGTTTACCAGGTGCCAAAGTAATGGGATAGTGTAACACTCAAAGTGTATAAGTATTGCCGAAAGATGGCTCCAAGTAAACCTCGGCACCAACTCCTTCACTCACACACATCAACCTGCCTTCCTTCTTTCCCTTGCCCCGCTGAACCTACCATTAAAGACAACGAAGACAGCGGGGGCGATGACCAAAACCAATTCACACAAGAGAGCAAGAACGACAGCAGCAGCAAAAACCAAAACCAAGAACGACGGCAAGAACGAGAGCGACAACGACAGCGAGAAGACCAGCGGAAAGAACGACGAGAAACGGCAGCGAAAACGACAGCGACAACGACGGCAGAAACAACGGAACGAGAACAACAGACTCATGCAGTGAAACGACAGCGAGGGACTGGGCCCATAACCTAATGGTAGGTTCGGAGGGGCAAGGGAAAGAAGGAAGGCAGGTTGATGTGTGTGAGTAAAGGAGTTGGTACGGAGGTTTACTTTGAAGCCGTTTTCCTGCGATACTTATACACTTCGAGTGCTACACTATCGCTCTACTCCGACTCCCAGTAAACCATACTCTACTATGCGCGACCAAGCGCGGTCCTCTTGTGGCCCGACCATACTGTTCGATTTCCACCTTACGAATCGATTCGTAACTATTAGCTCACAACTATTTCTACACATTCCAAACGACTGTAAACCATGGCCCTATGCATGCAACTGTTTCACACCTTACTAATCTGCATCCAGTCATGCCAGACTTCATTGTTGTGCAACGAACAACTTGGCACTTGTCTATTTCCAACAACGCAAACGTCTTTCATATCACAATCGCCATACGTATCCTTGTTTCTCACCTTACTAATTTCGCCAAGCACTGTCAGACAATTATGGCAAGTTATAACAATGTGCATCCAGACTTTCTACACAACTCACATGAGAATACATGTAAATCACACGAGTACTGTCATGAACTTGCATCCAACGGCGCACCATGACGAGAGCACAGTGCAACGGCGCGTGCTCACGCAAGACTCGCATACAGCGTGACGCGTACACAGAATAATTGCACAACTGTATTCCTCTCGCGAGAAGTACTTGTTGTACTTTTGATTCACATGTACTGTACTCGGACACGCGCAGGATCGCAAACAGTCTGACACTGTAAAACTGTAAACCCTCATGTGCATACACCTGGATGCGTGTACATGTGTACGTACACGAATCCACCTGGCGACGTGTACATGTGTACACGGCATACATGTGTCCCGCCCCGGGGGCCCCATGCAATTACCCATTACAACCATGGCAAACCACTTGAAACCCCCAAAACAACGTAATTATGGCATATACAGGCCATTTAAAGTACATCACAAGGCCAATGACGCACACGTGGACAACGCTCGACCAATAGATTTGCAGCATTAGACCTGAGGGCCAATAGAATTGCAGTATTTCCTGTGTAGTCTATAGTGCTACGGGCCAAGGTTCCACTTGGCAAAACTATGCAAATTTGCATGACCCTCCCAGAGGCCACTTTCGTCCCCAGAACCCCAAAATCTGGGATTTTACACGTGTCATGTCGTGATATGGGTAAGAGCGCCCGGACCGTGCAGTCATGTACACGTGTCACTCGATTTTGATCTTTTCAGATAACAGCATGTGGTCGCACATTTTCAATAAATACAACGTCAACATCAGAGTTGATTGAATCACTTTCGTGTGCAGGAATGTCATGCATCCCACATGTCGATTCATCAAACTTGACATCCCGTGACACAACAATTTTATTCAACTCTCCGTCCCAAAGTTTGTATGCCTTACTGCATTGCGGGTACCCAAGAAACATCGCTTCACGCGCTCGCAAGTCCAGCTTACGGAGCTCTAATTTTGGTAATGTATACCAACACTTTGACCCAAATACTCGCAAATGGCCAACATTTGGAGTAGAATTCATCCAAATGTGGTGCGGGGTTGTATTAACGGGCAAAGCCCGTGAAGTAACTCGATTGCGTACATATACCGAAGTGGCAAGAGCCTCGGCCCAGAATCGCTTACTGACCTGTTTATGAGAAAGCCTAGAGCGGACAAGATCAATCAAAGTTCGATTTAAACGTTCAGCAACACCGTTTTGTTCAGGGGTGTACGCCGTTGTGAGTTGGTGCTGCATACTGTTTAAATCTAAATGCGACTTGAATTCCGTCGACAAGTACTCTCCCCCTCGATCAGTGCGAAGCACCTTTACTTTGCGACCAGTGTGGGTTTGAGCCAACTTTTCATACAACTTGTATTTTGCAAACGCCTCAGATTTATTTCTCATCGTGTACACAACTACCCAGTTCGAGTGATCATCTACAAATGTAATGAAGTATCTCAAACCACCAATGGACTGTACTTCGAGCGGACCGCAAACGTCAGAATGTACCAAGTCAAGACAGTTCTGTGCTCGAGACGATGATCGCTGTTTTGGGATTACTGATCGCGTTGCTTTGCCAAACACAAACGCAGGACAAATGGGAGAGTGATTGTCAGACTTTGGATTCATTGCACTGATCACATCGCTTTGACGAACGTTGATGCCACGTACCACATTATTGTGAATCATTGATGCGATTCCTTGTACATTAACATGGGCCATGCGTTCATGTAGCGTCTGCAGGGAAACTTCGTGAGCAGAAAAGGTTTCATTCATGACGTCAAGTATGTACAAATCCCCAACTTGACTCGCTGTAGCAAGTACAGTTGATCCTGCAGTAACGCGGCATTTCTCATTTTCAAATGACACTTGCAAACCCTTCGAAACCATTTGGCTAACAGACAGTAGCGAGTATCCGAAATCAGGGACATGCAAAACGTTTGACAATTTGCAAGGATGGGGACTACCGTTGACGTTCAACATGAATTCTACCTCGCCGCGACCAGCGACATTAGCTCTAGCCTTCGTGCCCATCTCGACTGATCCAGATTGCATCTGTTCATACGTAACGAACAAAGAGCGATCAAACGTAATGTGAGCGCTGCAACCGGAATCGACCAGCCATGACCTTGCGTTTGCAGCCCTCTTTTCTGGAGTGGAAGTCGAAAGCAAGCAAGTAAAGTCACTCTCCGCAAAGGCAGCAGTAGAATTTTCATCTCGAGAAACGAATGCACTTGGCTTCAAGCCAGTGTTGCGTGACCGAAACCCATCTGGCGGTGCAGGTCGGCGCCCATTCACGTCCTTGCCCCAGCAACGCGCTGCAGTATGCCCATGTCTATTGCAATTCGTACATTTCATATCGCGTCGAATAGGCATACGATTGACAAGGGCAGGTGCATGTGGTGATGAAGCAGAAGCGGTCTTCATGCTTTCTCGTTGCTCTTCTTGCAGCAGACGACTCTTCACAAACTCGAGTCCAAACACTTTATCTTCATTGCCAAGTGCGTCAAGAGCAACAATCAGGTTATCGAATCGTGAAGGCAAGCCATTCAACACAGCCATTGCAATTTCTTTATCGTCAATCTCAACACTCATTGACTGCAATCTGGCAGCAAGTTGCTTCACACGATTGATGAACACGAGCACTTTCTCGGATGGGAGCATGGATACAGTGTAAAAGTCGCGACGCGCGGCAAGTTTGTTGAGCAAAGTATGACCCTCGAACACATTCAGAATTGCTTCCCATGTCTCTTTCGCACTGCTACACCCTCGCACATGTTGCAAGTAGTCATCAGAAAGCGTGAGTCCGATGACTGCCTTTGCTTTTGCGTCACCACGGATCCACTTTCTCCGGTCATCTGAGGTCGCATTCTCCGGGATATCATCAAAAACGTATTGATCGACATCTCGGAGAGCAAGCAGTAGCTGGATTTTCTGCTTCCAGATGTAAAAGTTAGATGCGGTCAGCTTCTCGATTCTGACCGATCCAGAGCTTTGGTCATCCATTTCGCGGAATGGATGTACCCTTCGAGTATACAAGGTCTTCTGTTCCGGGATCCCAAGCCGTTAACCGATAGTCAACACAATGGCAAGCCCACCCGTATAGGAAGTTTGTAGCGATTACTCGGAAACGTTCTTGGTGCTTGTTCCCGGCGGAGTGGAACAAGCGTATTCTTCTTAAAAATGCCTTAGGGCGCTACCCCTGATGTTAAAATCGAGGTCTGAAAAATCTGCCGCAAAAATTCGTTAACCACTAAGCCACAGGCGCTGGCTTCTTGGTGGCCCCTTGGGCGCGCTCACTATTTCAACACTCCCCCTCGACCAAGGGACGCCAAACACACGGCGCGGGTCACTGCACAACACACAGGCAGGTACGTTCCCAAGTGTGACACAAACAAACAAACAAACATTGCGCCGCCCAAGTGCACCTGATGAGAATCGAACTCACGAGTGGTAGCGTAAATCTGGGCCCATAACCTGATGTTAAAATCGAGGTCTGAAAAATCTGCCGCAAAAATTCGTTAACCACTAAGCCACAGGCGCTGGCTTCTTGGTGGCCCCTTGGGCGCGCTTAATGGTAGGTCAGCGGGGCGAAGGGGATTCGAAGGACGGTTGATGAGGTGAAGTTGAAGGATTGGGTACCGATTTACTTTGAGTCGCCAACTTCTGGCACTACTTATACACTTCTGCAATCTTCTAGAACTCTACTACCAAACACTACGACACACATACTACAAATGTATTGGCTCTAACACATGTGCCCGTCTTGCTACTCAGCCAAACTGGCGATGGCCCAACGAACAGAACAGAAAACCGCCTTACGAATTAGCACTGTCATGACGGAGAAATTAGTAAGGCAGTACAACAAAGCACAGCAAAGCACAAATTCCCTTACTATTCCAAATCCAGCGTGGCACAAATTCGTAAGGCACGTTTACAGCTCACACGTTGCCTTACGAATTCAAATGAATCCTGCAAGGACTGTTTACAGCGCACACGTTGCCTTATGAATCTGAATCTCTCGTGAGGTCCTGTCCAATGTCAATTACAACAGTGCACATTTTGCCTTACGAATTCAAAACTCGCGCAACGGTATCTTTGTGTCCTGCTGTACCCGTGTTGCACTCCATGGACGCTGTACACCTTTGGCACGTGCCAGGCACCCGCCACCAAGGTTCTATACTTTGTCTGTAAGACTGCAGGCGTACTGTACGCGTCCGACAGTGTAATGAGAACATGTGTCCAGGTCATACACGTGTCGGGCGAAGAAAATGAAACATGCTCAGATTGTACTGTACACCGCAACCGTGTACATATTTCACATGTGTACACGTCGAAACCCAAACGTGCTCCTGAAGTACTGTAGAGTGCAACCGTGTACAGAAATCACACGTGTACACGTTGAAAATCAAACTTGCTCAGCTCGTCACGCAGAGTGTTTTTTCTTTTACACGTGTCATACCTGTCGTCGTTTGTCATGCATATCAGCATGTGGTCGTAGAATTACAACACTCCCCCTCGATCACATGCTTTTATCAGAAGTAGCTACTGCAAGCCCTAGAAGTTCTACAAACTTCTGGAATAGAACTCGCCCAAGTGCTTTCGCCAGGATATCTGCAGGCATGGAAGTGGTCGGGCAATGCGACAAAGAAATGACGTTTCTCTTAATTGCATCTCGTACATAGTGGTATTTCACATCAACATGTTTGTTACGACGGTTGACCGATTCATTCTGTGCATACGAAATAGTCCCTGCATTGTCACACCCCATCACAATCGTGGGATCAGAATCAAGTCCAAGAACATCAGCAACCACTTGACGCAACCAAGTCGCCTCCTTACACGCTTCGCATAGTGCAATGTACTCAGCTTCACACGTCGAAGTTGCAACCACAGTCTGTTTCCGGGAACTCCAACTGATCGCTCCACCGCAGAACTTGAAAACATATCCGCTGGTCGACTTGCGAGACTCTGAACAACCGGCCCAGTCAGCATCACTGAAGCCGAACAACTCCGGCGATTTGGATTTATTATCAAACACGATTCCTAAGTTTGGAGTCCCTTGCACGTATCGCATTACCCGTTTCACACCTGCCCAGTGTGACTCACATGGGTTGGCAGAATGTTGAGAAAGCTTTCCAATCGCATATGCCAAGTCTGGACGAGTGCCAACCATCAAGTACATCAGGGATCCCACTGCTTCACGATACGGTGCGTTTGTTTCGGAGTCGTTTTCGGTTGAAATCGTGGTTGTGTGACCTTGTTCCATTGGAGTCAGAGAGGGGTTACACGTTGACATTCCAAAACGCTCAAGCACTTTTGATGCATACTTAGTTTGAGTGAGACTCAAAGTCTTGGCGGTGCGATCCCTTTGAATTTCAAGACCAATGCAGACTTTTGCTTCACCAAGGTCTTTCATCTCAAACCGTTTATTAAGCTCCCCCTTCATCCATTTGATGGCATCGATATCACTACCAGCGAGTAACAAGTCATCGACATAAAGTGCAATCAGCATGATAGTGTTACGGATGCGTTTAATGTAGAGACAAGGATCACTACGTGAAGTCTCGAATCCCAATTCACCAATTAAGAAATCATCCACTTTGGCATGCCATTGACGATGTGCTTGTTTAAGACCGTAAAGTGCTTTCAAAAGTTTGCACACGTGGTCACTTTTGCTTTTGTCAATGCACACTTCGGGTTGCTCCATGTAGATGTCTTCATCCAAGTCGCCGTTCAAAAACGCAGTCACGACATCCATCTGATGAAGTTTGAGGTCGTAATGTGCAACTAAGGCAAGAAGTAGACAAATAGTGGTAAACTTTATGACAGGGGCATATGTGTCAGTGTAGTCAAGACCCTGCACTTGCTGGAATCCACGAGCAACAAGTCTGGCTTTTGCACTTTCAACTATATTGCCATTTGCATCAGGCAGTTGCTTGACATTGAAAACCCATCGAGATGTCAAGATGTTTGACGCCTCAGATCGAGGAACAAGTTTCCAAGTCCGATTCTTGGTCTGCGAGGCAAGTTCTTTGTCAATGCCGGTCTGCCAAAATGCAGCGCTAGGACCGTTGGTTGCCTGTTTGAAAGTGTTGGGACCTTCAATAGCGACATGCGCATGTGAAAGAAGAGCAGCTGCAAAGTTGCTCCTCCACCATGATCCGGGAGGTCTGCTGACTCGAGACGATCTTCGCACAGCTGGAGTAGGAGTTGGAGGAGTGACATTCGGAGTTTCGACGGCAGTTGGTACATCATCTTCATCTTCATCATTCTTACTTACAGAGTGAGAGCCATCGTTTTCAAGAACCTCCTCCGAAACTTCATCCTCTTCAGAACCGACCTCATCCGTATTTGGGGTATCAGCTGTATTCCCATTGTCGCCATCGAGCAGTACAACGTCAACATCAGAGTTGATTGAATCACCTTCGTGTGCAGGAATGTCATGCATACCACATGTCGATTCATCAAACTTGACATCCCGTGACACAACAATTTTATTCAACTCTCCGTCCCAAAGTTTGTATGCCTTACTGCATTGCGAGTACCCAAGAAACATCGCTTCACGCGCTCGCAAGTCCAGCTTACGGAGCTCTAATTTTGGTAATGTATACCAACACTTTGACCCAAATACTCGCAAATGGCCAACATTTGGAGTGGAATTCATCCAAATGTGGTGCGGAGTTGTATTAACGGGCAAAGCGCGTGAAGTAACTCGATTACGTACATATACCGAAGTGGCAAGAGCCTCGGCCCAGAATCGCTTACTGACCTGTTTATGAGAAAGCCTAGAGCGGACAAGATCAATCAAAGTTCGATTTAAACGTTCAGCAACACCGTTTTGTTCAGGGGTGTACGCCGTTGTGAGTTGGTGCTGCGTACCGTTTAAATCTAGATGCGACTTGAATTCCGTCGACAAGTACTCTCCCCCTCGATCAGTGCGAAGCACCTTTACTTTGCGACCAGTGTGGGTTTGAGCCAACTTTTCATACAACTTGTATTTTGCAAACGCCTCAGATTTATTTCTCATCGTGTACACAACTACCCAGTTCGAGTGATCATCGACAAATGTAATGAAGTATCTCGAACCACCAATGGACTGTACTTCGAGCGGACCGCAAACGTCAGAATGTACCAAGTCAAGACAGTTCTGTGCTCGAGACGATGATCGCTGTTTTGGGATTACTGATCGCGTTGCTTTGCCAAACACACACGCAGGACAAATGGGAGAGTGATTGTCAGACTTCGGATTCATTGCACTGATGAAATCGCTTTGACGAACGTTGATGCCACGTACCACATTATTGTGAATCATTGATGCGATTCCTTGTATATTAACATGGGCCATGCGTTCATGTAGCGTCTGCAGGGTAACTACGTGAGCAGAAAAGGTTTCATTCATGACGTCAAGTATGTACAAATCCCCAACTTGACTCGCTGTAGCAAGTACAGTTGATCCTGCAGTAACGCGGCATTTCTCATTTTCAAATGACACTTGCAAACCCTTCGAAACCATTTGGCTAACAGACAGTAGCGAGTATCCGAAATCAGGGACATGCAAAACGTTTGACAATTTGCAAGGATGGGGACTACCGTTGACGTTCAACATGAATTCTACCTCGCCGCGACCAGCGACATTAGCTCTAGCCTTCGTGCCCATCTCGACTGATCCAGATTGCATCTGTTCATACGTAACGAACAAAGAGCGATCAAACGTAATGTGAGCGCTGCAACCGGAATCGACCAGCCATGACCTTGCGTTTGCAGCCCTCTTTTCTGGAGTGGAAGTCGAAAGCAAGCAAGTAAAGTCACTCTCCGCAAAGGCAGCAGTAGAATTTTCATCTCGAGAAACGAATGCACTTGGCTTCAAGCCAGTGTTGCGTGACCGAAACTCATCTGGCGGTGCAGGTCGGCGCCCATTCACGTCCTTGCCCCAGCAACGCGCTGCAGTATGCCCATGTCTATTGCAATTCGTACATTTCATATCGCGTCGAATAGGCATACGA